TAGATAGATAGATAGATAGATAGATAGATAGATAGATAGATAGATAGATAGATAGATGATAGATAGATAGAGAACCAAAAATGTTTCTTAACAGTTTGCCTCTTGAAAACCTTTGGCAGCAGTCATAAGGAAGGGTTTATGTGTCTAATCCATTGATTTTGCTTGCTATGTCAATGTACAGTGTTCATTTTAAAAAAATACAAATCACAATCTCAATATTTTTTTTCAGTAAGAAAAGAAATGAGGGTTGGGGAAGTGATAGATAGCACTGATATGTGAGATATATATAAGGAACGAATTCCCCAAATATGTTCCCAACCTTTTCAGTCTTTTCTCCATTGTTATGGACAATCTAATATAAAGCTGCATCAAATTGCAGGATCTGAGAAGCTCAGTATTGAAAATATGCAACTTTCTAGGAAAAGAACTAAATGAAAAGGAGGTTGATGATGTGGTAGATAAAGCTACATTTGATAACATGAAAATGGATGCTAGAGCAAACTACAGATTCATCCCTTCTGATCAGATAGATTTCAGCAAAGGGGACTTTCTTCGCAAAGGTAAATCAGTAGTAATTCATATTACTGAGGCTATGCTTGTGGGACATGCCAGGCTCCATCTGAGGCCAGGATTAGTGCCTTCATTTGAAAGGCACCTTTTAAGTTATATAGACATGGCTGATTGCATGTATCTGAGACAGTTGTAAATCTTTCTTAGCTGTACCAATGTTAAAGTAGCATTCTCTTTTTCATCCTGACAAAATTTTGGCATGAATATAATCTGTTTCTATGACAGGCCTGTTGCTTGCATAGTCCAATGATTCTTAGGGAGTGGGTTGGATCATTCTAGTTCACACTGGCCACTTTTGGGTAATGGAGACATTGCCTCTTCACTCTCTACCCTGGGCACTGTCCTCCAGTCTTAGAGCTGCCTCCTTTAAGCCTATGTGGAAATAGACAATGCTCAATGGACCATCAATCGTTTTACTTAATCAGAGGGCCAGTTCCAAAAAGGTGAATTCAAGATCATTTGAACCTCACTAGTCTTCTATCAAGTCTTCACTCTGTAATTAAAATAGTAAGGAACCAGCTTCCTGCTCAAAAATTATAAATACAGGTCTCCCCCCTTTAGGCCCCCTTGCAATCGCCCTATGTTAATAAATAATAATAATAAAAAAATTATAAATACAGATTTCTAAGAACAGTTTGATGGAGAAGGGGGTGGCTAAGCAGTCATCTGGTAATGGAGAAATGTGTAATGTCCCAAGTTAATTATGTTTTGCAAATCATTAAACTGTTGACATATTTTTAACCATTGCTTCCCAGGCACTATTGGAGACTGGAAGAACCACATGACTGTTGCCCAGAGTGAAAGGTTTGACCGTGTCTTTAAGGAGAGGATGGAAAAGCTGCCCTTCAAATTCTGCTGGGATGTTCAAGAGGATCCTCAGCCTACCTCCAGCCGAGCGAAGGAAAATAATGTGTGATACACACCTTCAAATGTCTTGAAGCAGAGCTGACTTTCCAAGAATGGTCTTTGAATAACCTTGTAAAATAATGTTTAATTTTCAACTCTCACAGAAAAGATCACAGAAAAAAGCAACATTAAATTTTATTCTATTGTTAATTATAATAGACCCTACAGAAAAGTGGTAATGTATGCCACTCTGAAATTCTTCTTTTCATTTGTATTTTGATTCCACAAATGAAGCCAAATGCACTAGAATTTTGATATTTGATGTCCAGTTGTTTCCTACACCCACTTATCATTTTTCACTTATCAACTGCAGTGATTCGCTTAACACTTGTGGCAAGAAAAGTCTTAAAATGGGGCAATTGTCTCACTTAGCAACATACATTTTCGGCTCAGTTGTAGTCATAAGTTCAGAATGACCTGTATAAACTGCAAATGCTACTCATTTTGTACATTAACTACAAAGCAAGGATCAAGGTGCCTTCCATGTGGATAGGGGTGCCAAGTCTGAGCAGTTACCAAGGTTGCTTGAACAGCAGAAACTTTACTTTTCATATCACAGGAGCAAACATTTAGAAATCCCCCTCTCCTCTTTCCCCTAATGCAGGGGTCCCCAAACTTGGCAACTTTAAGACTTGTGGACTTCAACTCCCAGAATTCTCCAGCTGGCTGGAGAATTCTGGGAATTGAAGTCCACAAGTCTTAAAGTTGCCAAGTTTGGAGACGTCTGCCCTAGTGAACGTATTGAGAGAAGAGGTTCCTTCACCCCTGTTGCTTTCCTGGATGTAAGGTCAAAAAGGAAAAGGTGAAATAAACTTCTATAACACCATGTTCTGATTGTGGCAACATGAGGCAAATGATAAGAGGAATGAATCTTTATTCTCTCCCACCACCACCACACTTGGTAATCTCACAAGAGATAAGGGGGCGTGCATAAGCGCACCAACGTGCCTACCGTCCCTGTCCTATTGTTTCTCTTATTCTTCTTTTATTTTTCTTATATGTACCCATTTCATGTATTCACAACTATGTATACACTTATACTTATTATCTTTTAAACAATTGGCAAATCAAATAAATAAATAAATAAATAAATAAATAACAAAGCAAAACTGGTGGAAGAAATAAATACAATGGAGATTTTTTTTTAAAAAAAAAAAAGCATTTTCAACAGCTTTGTTAATTAATTGCTAGTTTTACCCTTTCCTCAAAACTTAAAAGATTCTAGGTCATTTATAGATCGAAAAAAATTAATGAATAATAAAGTAAAAATTAAAAAATACTAAATAAAAGAATAATAAATAATAACAAATTACCAGACTATTAAATCTGACTTTAGTGAGGATGACACCATTCAGTCCCCAAAGGGGAGTGATACCAAGAGTATTTGATTAAGCTCCAGCTCCCTCCTGTTAATTTTATGTTTGAACCTGTCTGGCAATATTCTATATTCACAGCTGTGTTCAGAATAACAGAGTTGGAAGGGATTTTTTGGGGGGGGGGTGTTCTGGTCCAATCCCCTGTTCAAGTAGGAAACCCTACACCATTTTAGACAAATGGTTGTCCAGCCGCAACTGTGATGACCCGGGGCGTGGCACAAAGGCAACACAGTCACATAAGTAAGAAATGTCCCTTTAATACGTCCAACTTTGCCCCCAATGTCCAGTTACCTTCGACTGGAGAAAAAAACTCTCCCAAGAACTTTGTCTTTAAGTGGAGGAAATTTAGTCTGAAAACAAAGTACTTGTTAGGAATATGGGTCACCTAACAGCTATTTGGGTTAGAAATATATATAAACCAGGATAAACATTTGAGAACTATATCTTTAAGAAAATGCAAAACTGTAGTTGGGTGTGGTTTCTCAAATGGCCATAAGATGGAGCCAGAAACCTGGATTGTCTTAGTCTTAGTCTCAGAAGAGAGTGTGTCTGAGTGTGTCTCTGTTTCCTTCTGTTGGAAAGTACTGCTGTTGCTCCATTTCTTCTAATTGACTGATATTACTGGATTTAATGTAAGTCTGATACTGAACTGTTTTTTCACACTGGACTTTGATATTTGGATTATCCCTGGATGAAAACTGACTGATTTTACCTGTGAATGACTTTGGATTGCTTATTTTGGACTTTGCTTAAACCTTTCTGGAAGTAAAAACCTACATTTACTGTACAGTGTATCTGTGTGCTCTGTGTGTATTATTCAAACACTACTCTCAAATACATCTCCCTGTATGTGCTCATTCTCCTAACGGGGAATTACCTCAACGCTGGTTATGGGCCCAGGCCATACCAGGCTCAGATAACTGAGAGTTAGTGTGAATGCACAGTACTGTATACAGACAGCTGTTTACTGTTTAATTGTGGGTTACTATCCTGATAAAGATGGCACAAGTCACTTCAACAAGTCTATCACTGATAACCCAGTTGGATGGAACAAACTATGTTTCCTGGTCTATGAAATGTAGTCTACTTCTGCGTAAAGAAGGTTTATGGAATGTAGTTCAAGACCCACCAGATGTAAATGCTTGGGATCCAGATAATGAGGATGATGCCAAGAAGATTGCTGACTTTAAACAGAACAACGAACGAGCTCTTTGTATAATATGGACTAGCTGCTGAGTGACCAGCAGCTAGTCCATATTCATGGAGAAGAGTCTGCTGCTAGGTGTTGGGAGAATTTGAAGAGGATTTATGTTCGTGACAGTGTAGATGCACACATACATCTTACAGGTAAACTGTTTAGAGCACATCTTCTGAAAGGTGGAAATATGTTAGCTCATTTGAACTTCATGAAAAGAACTTTTCAAGAGCTACATGAAAAGGAACTGATATTTTCAGAGCTGCATCAAGTTTACATCATTCTTTCCTCGTTGGATGAAAGTTATGATGATTATGTATCTTCACTGGAAGTCCTGCCCAGAGATAAACTGACATTAACTGACATAACCGGAAGATTGTTAGAAGAAGCAAGAAGACGGCTGGATAGGGACCAACTGAGGAAGGAACATGTCTTCAACTGCCTATAATGTTAGGAAATGTTTTTCTTGTAGGGCTAGGGGACATATAGCTAGATTCTGTAAGAAAAGAAAAGAAAAGAAAACACCAGAAGGCCAAGAAGAATGTTAGTGTAGCTATGTCTAGCAATTCAACTGTAAACCATGATTTGTGGGTTGTTGATAGTGGAGCATCGCAATGCATTACTAAAGATAGAAAAAGGTTTGTAAAGATGTCCACGAGTAAACATGTATCATTGGCAAATGGATGGAAGATTAAAGCATCAGGTCAAGGTACTGCATATTGTTCTTGTATAAACGAACATTTAACTATGTTATATGTACCTAAACTGAAATTTAATTTGCTATCAGTAAGGGCTTTAGTTAATTTTGGTTATGTAGTAATCTTTAGGGGAGATAACTGTATAATAGAGAAAGAGGGTAAAAGTGTTACTGCTACTTTAGAGAATGATTTATATGTAATACATGATGATCAGTTGCAGATGGCTAACTCTATAACAATGTTAAGCCACATGATGAATGTATACATTTATTGCATAGATGTCTAGGGCAGATTAATTTCAAAATGCTCAAACAAACTGTTGAATTGTCAGAGGGAGTAAAATTGAAACCCTATAGCAAGTATTTAAACTGTAATGCTTGTAGTCAAGAAAAGAGTAAGGTTACTCCAGCAAACAGACTTAATGGATTTAAGACCAAAGAACCTTTAGAGGTTGTGTTTTCTGACATAATTGGTCCTAAGAAACCAAGTTTAGGAGGTGCCTGCTATATTTTGAGTATTATGGACCATTACTCACGATACGGTTTCTGCTATCTCATGAAAAACAAAACAGAAACATTCCAACATTTCTTTAACTGGCTAAGGTTTGCAGAGAGAAAAATGAAAAGTAAAGTAATTACTTTAGTAACTGATAATGGGACTGAGTTTGTTAACAAAAGATTCCAAACTATGCTAAAATTGGCTGGTGTTGAGCATAAACATTCTGCACCTTACAGACCACAACATAACTCATTTGTAGAACGAAGAGGGCAAACATTATAAGCCATGGCTTGCACTATGTTATCTGATTCAGGTTTGCCTGAAACACTGTGGGGTGAAGCCATAATGTGTAGTAACCATGTTTTAAACAATGTAGTTAACACAACAACTGGATAATTGCCATTCACTCGTTGGCATGGCAGAAAACTAAATTTAAGTTACCTACACACATTTGGAGCTCCAGCATGGGTGCATATTCCCTCACAAGTAAGACTGAAAGGGCAACATAGAGCTAAGAAGTTATTTTTTGTGGGTTATGAGGCCAACCATAGAGCATTTAGATTCTGTGATCAAGGCACATCTCTTGTTTATTGTAGTGCTAGTGCAAAATTTCTCGAGCACGTTGGGTGGGATAAACTGGAACAGGAATCCAGCATTGATATTATTATTGACACCCAAATAGTCCCTAAAGATGATATAGGTAAACCACGAATAGCCATTAAAGAGGAAGAACAGGAGGAAGTAGGAGAACAGGAACAGGAAGAGGTAGAAGAACAGGAGCAGGTGGCACAGGAAAGTCCACCAGTTAGCCCTGTATTACCAAGACATTCAACCTGAGTAACACGACCACATGATAGATATCAGGCTAGTGTTATATGCCAAGTGAATACAGTTCCAAGTAATTATAGTGAACTAAAACTGTATCCTGCTAAGGATCAGACTGCTTGGCAGAAAGCAATGGATAAGGAACTGGAATCTTTAAAAAGACTGGAAGTATACGAAAATGTTAAGTTACCACCAGGTAAACATGCCATAGGATGTAAATGTATTTATAAACTGAAGACAGGTGTGGATGGGACTGTTACCCATAAAGCCAGGTTAGTAGCACAAGGGTTTAATCAGACAGCAAATGACTATGATGAGGTGTTTGCACTTAG